TTAAGATGCCTCTTGGCTGAAAGCAAACAACACCTGAAAGGTACCTGCCTGTGTTTAATGACTATGCAAAGGCATCCAACTATGTGGATTATAACAAATTATGTATAATATTCTGAAGAATAGGAATTCCTGAACACTTCATTATGCCCATGAGGAACCTGTACATAGACTAAGAGGCAGTTGTTTAAACAGAACAAGGGGAAACTGCATGGTTTAAAATCAGTAAAAGCGTATATCAGGGTTGTATCCTTTCACCATAACTATTCAATCATTATGGTGAGCAAATAGAAGCTGGACTATATGAAGTAGTACACAGCATCAAGACTGGAGAAAGATTCATTAACAACCTGCTTTATGCAAATGTCACACCCTTGCTTGCCGAAAACAAAGAGGACTTGAAGCACTTACTGATGAAGATCAAAGATTACAGTCATCCCTATAGATTACACCACAACATAAGAAAACAAAAATCCTCACAATGGAACAATAAGCAAAATCATGATAAATGGAGAAAAAAATGAAGTTGTCAAGGATTTCATTTTACTTGGATCCACAATCAATGCTCGCGGAAGCATCTTTCAAGAAATCAACCAACATACTGCCTTGGGCAAATCTGTTGCAAAAGACCTGTTTAAATCATTAAATAGCAAAGATGCTACTTTGAAGACTGAGGTGGGCCTGACCCAAGCCATGGTATTTTCTATAGTCCCATATGCATGTGAGAGCTGAACCATTAATAAGGAAGACCAGAGAAGAACTGATACATTTGAATTGTGATGTTGGTGAAGAATATTGAATGCACTATGGACTGCTGGAAGAACGAACAAATCTGTCTTGGAGGAAATATAGCCAGAATGCTCCTTTGGTGATGTCATAAGAAGAGATCAGTCCCTAGAGAAGGATATCATCCTTGGCTAAGTAAAGGGTCAGAGAAAAAGGAGAAGACCCTCAAGATGATGGATTGACACAGTGGGCCCAAGCATAGCAACGATTGTGAAGATAGCACAGGACAAGGCAGTGTTTTGTTCTGTTGTATGTAAGGTCACTATGAGTCAGAACCGACGTGTAAATGGCACCTAACGATAGCAACGTTGAATATATGGCTAATTGCCTCCATGAACACCTGCTTCCTTTGCAGTGAGACCAGAAGAACTAGACGGTGCCTGGTTACCATTACTGAATATTTTGATCAAAGATTCCATAGAAGTATCCTGAGCAAAGGGCAGAAAATGCAGAACAAAATTCCAAAATCTCATGGACTCTAGACTTTCTGGAGTCATGGAGGCAGGATGAACCCTTGAAACTACCGCCCTGAGATAAGCTTTAAACCTTAAACCAAAAATATCTTCTGAAGCCTTCTTAAAACCAAGCAATAGTTTAGTTTAACTATTAAAACTGTGTCTTGAGCATTATGTGCAATTTAATGGGATGAAATTGACACCAGTAACTCAAAAGATTAGACAGGAAGCTTAAGCTGAGTTTAGGTTAATGGGGGAGGCGCAACTCACAAAAGGAGGGTGTAAATTGTTGCACAACTCAAAGTATATAATCACTGTCACTGAACTGTACATGTAAAAACCATTAAATTAGTGTATGTTTTGCTGTGTATTCTCAACAACCAAAACAAAAAATTTTTAAATAAAATAAAGAATGGCCTGAGGAAAGAAGAAGAAAGAGTGGCCAAAAAAAAAAAAAAAAAATGTCCATCAGAGACTGGAAGAGCAAGTTAGGACCACACTGTCAAGGGGCTGAAGGTGACCCAGGTTCATCTGCAGAGGCTGTTTAGCAGGGGAGTTATCTGTTCAGATGGTTTTGAGAATAACCACTCTGGAAGTAAAAGAAGCATGCTGGCACAGTCCAAGCAAGAGATATAGCCAGGGTAAGGGGATGAAGAGAAGTTTGGGGAATGAGGACTCCATCCTGAAGGGCTCATTGCTATAAAGAGAACAGTAGGCAGGGAAACCCACCTACTGCTCTGCAGTGAGCATGGGCTGGAGAGCTTGGTTTAAGAGTCATCAGCTAATCATGGTATCTGAGGTCATTGGGATGCATGAAGTTGACTGTGGAGGGTGTGTGATAGAATAGAACAAAGTCAAGCATGTAACTGATAGAGAGGACATCTATGAAAGTTGAATAGAAATGGTTAGAGTGGAGAGAACAGTCAAAAGCACCAAGGAGAACAAAAAGTGGTGAAGCATGTCAGGTTAAGGGACAGTATCAAATAAGACAAGGTCTTGAAAACACATCTTGCCTTGTAAATTGAGAGGTTACCAATGGCCTCAGAAGGAACAGTTTCCATTCAGCCTTGAGGGCCAGAACAAGATGGCAGAGATGCCAAGCTAGGCCCTGGGCAAAGGCACATATGATACAAATTACCATCTTCCAAAGGGGTCCTTATGGGACAACCGTTAAGTCCTTGGCTGGGAACCAACCGGAAGGCTGGCAATTCAAATCCACCTATCAATTCCTAAAGAGAAACACAGGACAATTTGCTCCTGTAAAGAAAACCCTATGAGGCGGTTGGTTCTATTTTGCCACACTGGGTTACTATGAGAAAAAGATTGACTTGATGGCACCTAACAACAGCCCTTTTCCAAAGTTGATGGCTTTTATCCTTTAAAATTATATATATATATATAGGAGCTCTGGTAGCATAGTGGCTAAGGCACTTGACTGCTCACCAGAAGGCTGGCGGTTCAAACCCACCAGCCACTCCTCGGAAGGAAGGTTGGGCAATCCTACTTCCGTAGTGATACTGCCTCGGAAACCCAAGGAGGGGTCGCTATGAGTCAGGGCTGACTCGACGGCACATAACAACAACAACAACATATACAACAACAAATATATATATATATATATATATTGTCCCTGTATGTGTTCTCTTGCTCAGACTCTTATCCATTTTTGAGATGGGCATTTGTTTATGTCACATGAACCAAGACTACAGGTGAGTTAGAGTTCTGCCTGCTAGTGGAGACTTTTGCTGAGTGGGAGCAGGGCATATAAAATCCCTTGAATGTGCTTTTAGAATGATTCATCCGAATAGGGCGTGTATGGCAGCACATTCCTAAGGTTCCATGCCTGCTGATATTTCAGTTAGAAGTCCAGTCCAACAGATAATGCTGGCAAAGGAGGTCCTATAACACTGGGTCTCCTTAACAAACAAAACCTGTGCACATTTATATTCTTGAGTGTGTACATTCTGAACCTGTGTGGATGACATGATCTGTGTGTATCATAACCTTAGTTATGTCTATGTTAAAGGTCACAAGAAGGTGAGACTTCAAATAGTAGTGAGAGGGCAGAGAAATCATAAAAAGGATTTTATTATCCATTCATTTGCTTGTTTCTTAGGAGGCATTCCTAACTGCTCTAAGTTTCAGGGTGAAGAGACAGAAGCTGACGAAGTTTTGGCCTGGGGTAATTTTTCAGTGCCTGATGAGGATGAGTAGTAGTCTCCTCATGGTCAGAAAGCACCAGGTGATGTGGTTGGTGTCAGAAAAAAAGCAGTTCCCATTTCAGGCTCTACCCACACTCATAATCTAAGAAAGCTACTTAACTTCTAGAAGCCTGACTTTCCACAACTGTAAAATGGGATAACTTCACAGGGTTTTGCAAGACCAAAACCACATATTCTCTAAATTTTTAATAGGCTCATGATAAATCATTACTAACAATGGTAATATGCCAGACACTGGACTTTATCATAAGAATTCTCATTTGCTTCTCACAACTCTACAAAATGGACACTATTAATGTCCTGGTTTCAGAGATTAAGAAACTGAAGTTTAGAGACACTAAATAACAGTATGAATATTGCAGCTAAGTGGCAGAACCCCCTTTATAAATCCCCTCCCTTTTCAAGGTTTTCTGCATAAAAGATTAGGGTCACATAAGTGCATTTAGTTATACTAATGAAAGTATTAGTAATGTCTGCCTGAAAGATTTCACTTTTAAACTGCTGACTAGAAATCAGAACATAATTCTAGCCTCCAGGAGAGGGAATAGAGATTTTAAAAAAAAAAAAAAGGCAGCAATGTGTACAATGTGTCTTTATAGGTAAGGGACTAGGCCAGGCTCTTATTTTAATGCCTTCCTCTTGGAGAAGATTCTAGCAAAGTATGCAAGATATTTTCAGAAAACAGGACATTTTAAAAGTATTTTATAATCTCAGATTGGAGTACTGTTTATGCTTTATCTCCACATTTGAGAAAATGTTGATGCTCAAAGACAACCTCACCTCACTAAATATAGACTGGCTGGAACCCACCCGCAAAAAGGAAACAACACTTTGCGTTATGGTTTTAGAACTTGGGCCAAGGTTTTCGTGACTCACGTTACTACGTCCCCACCTAGCCCCTGTCTGAGATCCGGAGACGAGATGTGGACACGAAGCCTTCTTTCTTTGGGTTACAGAAAAGGCTTCATCCATTTTCCACCCAAGGTGGAGGAAGGTCGCGGACACGCAGGTCCTGATCTCCCAGATAGGGCGTTTGCTAAGACCTTGAAGGGCAACGCGACCTTGAGGCCTACGTTTGCCTCAGTTGCCCTCTCTGAGCAATGGGGAGACAAGTGCTCATTGCCTCACTAGAATCCAAGCGGCATACCCGTACTTTGGCCTCCGTGCTCTCCCCTGCGCACCACTCACCCCGCACTCTTACCCGGCTCCCCTCAAAAATCTTGCCCCTACGTCCCCAGCTCCGCCAGCCCAATGCCGCAGCCACAACGCTGCGACCCGCAGGCGGGAACTGGCTTCCCGTCCATCACACGCCAACGTTCCGGCCTTTCCATGCCCACAGGCACCAGGATCTGCGCCTATAGGCCAGTAGTGTCATCACTCCAACCGAGATGCGATCACGATTGGCGTGTGCTAGGGCGCGCGACCAGTCTGTAGGCGGGGTCTAGGATCGCTATAAAAGGGCAGGGCGGCCACAGTCCGTCCGCTTTGCAGACGCCGCCACCGAGATCTGCATCCTAGATTTCTGCTGCCGCGCTCAGCCATGGTCAACCCCACGGTGTATTTCGACATTGCAGTCGACGGCGAACCCCTGGGGCGCGTCACTTTCGAGGTGAGGACTGCGTTGGAGGTGGGAGGCTGAGTGGTGGCTGAGAGGGCCAAGGGGGGGCCGCTGACCCCAACGAAAGACCAACGTCGCTGCGGCCCCGGCGGGGGAAGAACTGACTGAGGAACGCGGGTGCGGCCGGCGGGTGGGGGTGGCCGCGGCGCCATTTCCTGAGAAGGGGCCATTTTGGAAGACGGTCGAGACGCGGGGAGGAGGCTGGGGGCGGCGGGCAGACAAAGGCACGCGGGGCGGAACAGGCCAGTGCACCCTCCCCCGACGACCGCTCGGGACCACAGCCGTCTTCCCCCGCCCAGCTAGTGAAGTGCTTGCCTGGGGCCATGCGCCAGCCCGCCGCCGCACGTGTTGCCCGCGCCCTTCCGGCGCCAGCCATCGAGCGCGCTAGTACCGCATGTGGATTCTGGGTTTTGGTACCGGGTAAGACAGATGTACCGGCTTGCGACTTGAGCAGTTGATTTTCGAAGCTGGGGTCGCCCTAAACACAATAAAGACGTTAGACTTCATTTTGAAGCAGTTTTTCCTCAGTCTTGTAGCTATTGCCCCAGGAAAATCCCTATTTTGATAGGGTTAGTAAAGGGTTTTGAGTTCTTTCACCCATATTTTCAGGATTTCTGTTCACACACTAAGGGGTGTGTTCGAGCAGTTGTATATTGGTTTAGTTGTTCGTGAATCCCAGACCATTTTTTAACTTAAGAGTTCGTTTAAAAAAAGTACGATTGATTTGTGATTTACCTTGAGTGCTTTTTCAGTTAGTTTAAAACCTGAAGATTTATTTGGAATTGAGTTTTGAAAATCCCTTCACGCCCTCCCCCCAAGCGGAAATCTGAAGGCAGTCGTTTGGTTTGCTCACACTCAACGTCCGCCTTCCTCCTGTGCAGTGACTAAGTTGTGATAGGAGGCTCTCAGTCCTTTCCCTGTATGTAAATAGCAGGTTAGGAAGGCAGCACGGTAGGTCTTTTCTGACCCGAATGGGTTAAAAATAATCAGCTAATTCTGGAAGTTTGAGTGGTGGTAAATAAGAGCAGAAAAGCTCAGCGATTTGGTGTACTTAAAAATTGAATGGTAAATATTTCATTCTAGTTACTTTAACTCAATATAGTAGAGCTTATGCTGTTGTAAAAATCATGTTACTTTATGGTTTTATTATTCTAAAAACCACCAATCATTGTGTTTTAGGATCTTATTTTCAAAGTAAATTTTCCCCTCATGGCAGGAAGATTGTTACCAACTCTGTTCACAGCACTTGACACAAGTAGGCACTTAACACTTGCAGGGCCATTACATCTTGACCAGTGTACATCCCTGTTCTATCACAGCTGATAACAGGAACCTACTGGAAATTTTGCCTGTGTACGATAGTGGGCAGGCAGGCCAGCTCAGGTTAGAAGACTTAATGGAAAGGTGGTGTGGAACTATTACCAATAAGGAATTTTTTTTTTAATGAACCTACAGCAACGTAAAAGAAATAGGGAAAGCAAAGCTTTGAGGAATGTTAGTATTTAAAAGAAACCAAATATTCTACGTCCAAATGCTTAAAACTAAGATGTATATAAGGATTTTCTTCATTTCCATAGTTCTAAAATACTCCTTTTAAACAAGCCTTCTATGAGAGAGCTTGTAAATGTAACTGGTATTTGTGTCATCTCCAGCCATAAGGTCTTACACCCATATACATTTTTCCTATCCTCAGGTAGTGTAGTAAGGGCTTGAATAGCTACAGTAGTTTCAGAGCAGATACACTGGAAACCAAGAAGGGACTGCTCATCTAATCTGTAAAGTCAGTACATCAGAGATAGGTAGCAGCATTTTCATTTCCAGTGGCTAAAATAACAACTTCTTTACCAGTGGTCATGTAAAAAAAAAAACCTCACTGCTGTAGAATCGATTCTGACTCCTAGCGACCCCCTTTGGGTTCAGAGGCGGTAATAGCAGTACTTAACTATTTTAAGGATTTTGTCCTTGGGTTCCAGCTAAGATGAGCTTAAAAAGCTATCCAGAAGTTAGTGATGTTGTCTGCCCTTCAGTTTGCTTTTTGATTTGTCTTTGAATCTCAACCCATCCCTCAACAGGATCTTTAATCATATCTTACTTTGGATTCAAAGTAACTACCAAAGAAGCACATTCTCTAGTGAGAAAATGAATTTATGATTCAGAAACCCCCAAACACAAGGATAGTAAGGAACAGATGTTAATAACTGTAATTTTCTTTTACAGCTGTTTGCAGATAAAGTTCCAAAGACAGCAGGTTGGTTTCTTTTTTCATTAACAAAAGTATTTTGATTTAACAGTTTCAGTGTGTGTTTATTTATTTATTTTCCCCTCCCAATAGAAAACTTTCGTGCACTGAGCACTGGGGAGAAAGGATTTGGTTACAAAGGTTCCTGCTTTCACAGAATTATTCCTGGGTTTATGTGCCAGGTATGAAATTTATTGATTGTGATGATCGTTGCCCTCTTTAATTTTAGGGATTGATCAAAAATGTTCAGAATGCACATATCTGAGCTGTTACTTAACTTGGGTTTTTTTAAAGTTTCAGCCTTGTAGGTTAGGAACTTCCCCAGTTACGTTGCCCAGAGATGAATTCATATCATCTTCTTTGCAGGGTGGTGATTTCACACGCCATAATGGCACTGGTGGCAAGTCTATCTACGGGGAGAAATTTGATGATGAGAACTTCATCCTGAAGCATACAGGTCCTGGCATCCTGTCCATGGCAAATGCTGGACCTAATACAAATGGTTCTCAGTTTTTTATCTGCACTGCTAAGACTGAATGGTAAGGGTGGAATAGAGAAAACAGAAACAAAAGACTAAATTGAGTGTTCTGTGGAATAGTAGTTACATATTACCCTATTACACCGATGAGGTAGGATAGAAAAGATTTGATGAGGTAGGAAAGAAAATATTTGACTAGGTACAACTAGAAAGCAAGATACTTTATAATAGAGAAGTAGAGGCCTTAGCTGGGTGATGTTTAGCAGACTAAAACCTCATCTGAGGATATTGTTTTGCAATCTTCAGCCACCTCTTTTTGTGTGTCACTGGTTGTATTAGTAAGCTTTATGGTGTAGGCTTTTTTTTTTTAAGGCTATAAACTTTATTAATATCCAAAGCTGCATAATTCTATCTCTTGGGTACATCTTTCTGATGGTCGTAGTAATTATTCTCCTACTTCTAGGTTGGATGGCAAGCATGTAGTGTTTGGCAAGGTGAAAGAAGGCATGAACATTGTGGAAGCCATGGAGCGTTTTGGGTCCAGGAATGGAAAGACCAGCAAGAAGATCACTATTGCTGACTGTGGACAACTCTAATAAATTTGATCTATATTTCATGTTTTATTTTAACCATCAAACCATTCCTTCTGTAGCTTGAGAGATCACCCTTCTACCCCCAGTGTGCTTGCAATACCCTTTAATCTTTATGCTGTCACTACAGTTTTTTGGGTTCTATATTTTCCTTAATCCCCTTCTAGTCTAGCTGAGTTGCATAATTAAGTTTATGATTATGAAATAAAAACTAAACAAAAATCGTGTCTGCCTTTGTTGCGGCCAAGATATTTGATCAAGTGTTTTTTCCTTCTCACCTAGTGTGATAATAGCAAGAAGACTTGAATGTCACTTGTATGTCCCTGCAGGGCCAAGAAAAACAAGCTGAAACTTGAGAGTGTGTATCACTGGTTATGCTGAAAAAATTACTACTTGGCTCATTTAGTAGTGTCCATGTAATGACCAGATGGGTCGTATTCTTAAAGCTAAATTTTGAACATGTTCTAGGGTAGGGTTTTCTAAGGAATATTCTTGGTGTGCACATCTCCCTACAAAGTGTGTGTCTCTTAAAACCCCAGAAAGATGCAGTTCCTACCTCTAGAATAGGATGGCTTATCTCTAGTTTGGATTGTGGGGAGTGCTTCAAATTTACTTGGGGTTATACAGTCTTCAAAATGGAAACTAAGCCAGCCGGAACCATAGTGACTTGATTATGTTGACACAAATAATGGTTCTCTAATACCAGTCACTCCTCCGAAGGAAGGTTGGGCAGTCTGCTTCTGTAGTGATAATGCTGCAGAAACCCAAGGAGGGGTCACCATGAGTCAGTTCTGACTTGACAGCACATAACATACCATTTGCATATACCATGCTGGATGCTGATAAAACCCTTGGGAACTGGAGAGAAAGTCAAGATACTAGCATGTATGGTAAACAGCTGGGCTGTATGAAAATGGAGCATCAGGGTGGCAGGAAAGCTCATTAGCAACTTGTGATAAGCAGACGGCAACCTTGCTGGAAGCAAAGGATACTGTTAGGTGCAGTTATGTCATCTTGGACTCAGCGACCCTATGCACATAAGTATGAAACACTACCTGGTCCTGTGCCAGCCTTGTGATTCTTACTATATATCTGAGCCTATCCTTGCAGCCACTGTCAATCCATCTCTTTGAGGGCCTTCCCCTTGTGTGTTGATCCTCCACTTTACCGATTATAATATTCTTCTTCCAAGTACGTCTTAGTCTGGAAGCTCTGCTGAAACCTGTCCACCATGGGTAACCCTGCTGGCGTTTTGCAACACCAGTGGCATACCCTCCAGCCTCACAGCAACAAGCAAGCCTCCACAGGACGACAAACTGACAAGTTAATCTCCCTTAGTTTCTAACCGCTCTGCTCACTTCTGAGCCACATGCCCATCTATCTGGGCCAGCCTAAATGAAGCCGACCCAGAAGCCCTGAGCTGTGTGCCCGCCTATCTGGGGCCTGGCTTTAAATAAAACCACAAGATACTAGAAGCACTCATTGACAGAAAACTACCGTAAAACAAAAGTCCTCACAATTAGATCAATAAGTGTATCAAAGATTTTGTTTTATTTGGGACCCACAATCAATGTCCATGGAAGGAACAGTCAAGAAATCAAATGGTGTGTTTGTCCAATCTGTTGCAAAAGACCTGTTTAAAGTGTTAAAAAGCAAAGATGTAGTTTTGAGGACTAAGATGTCATGATATTTTGGATAGTTTCATATACATGTACATAGGGTTGCTATGAGTCAGAGCCAATTTGATGGCACCTAATGACCCCACCCACTTTGTGACCATCTTAATCTGCTATATTTTAATAGCATGTATACTCTGGTGGTGCAGTGGTTAGGGCATTTAGCTGCTAATCAAAAGGTATATGGTTCAAACCCACTAGCTGCTCTGCAGGAGGAAGATGAGGCAATCTACTTCCATAAAGATTTAATAGCTTTGGAAACTCTGCGGGTCACTATGAGCTGGAATCGACTCGATGGCAGTGGGTTTGGTTTTGATTAACTCAACTTTATATGTATTTATCATCTGTGTCATGCACTAAAATAGCACTGTGGAACTCAGTTTCCTGCTCTATCCAGCTCTACCATTTATATATAAGTTACTTAACCTTTCTATCTTAGTTTCTTTATGTGAAAAACAGAGATGATGACTTTCACAAGGCTGTGAGGATTAAATAGAAAGTGCTTATTATATGTGTAAGCGTTCACTTTTTATTTTAAGGTAAACTCCATTACGATTTTGTCTGGCTGGTTCACCAGTGGTCCCCAGTGCCTACACCAGTATTTGTCCTAGAGGAACTCACCAAAAATACTCAAGTGAACTGTGTTAATCTTTAACGTAGATCCCTGCTGAGCCCCGTTTATATTTTTGCCAGAGTTATGGACTTAGAAGTTTCTGTTACGAATTATACATACAAAAATATTGTATTGCTTACTTATTGCTAATACCTAATTACCCCAAATTTAAAGACTTTAAGTAAAACATCTCATGGTTTCTGTAGGTTAGGAATAGGAATTGGCACAGCTTCTCTGAGTCCTCAGCTTCAGTTTCTCTCAGTCTGCAATCAAGGTGTTGACTGAGGCAGAGAATATGTGGATCTGTCTCTGAGATCACTTACATGATTGTTGGCAGGACCTGGTTCCTTGTGGGTTATTTGTTGGAGGTCATCCTCAGATCCTTGCTCAACGATTTCTTCAACATGGCAGCTGGCTCCATCAAAACATGCAAACTGGAAGGCAGTTGTTAGGTGCTGTTGAGTCTGTTCTATCTCATAATAACCCTATGAACAACAGAAGAAGGCAGTAGAGTACAGCAATATGGAAGTCATAATCTTTTGTAACCTGATTACTGAAGTGACATCCCATCTCTTGCCTGTTCTGCAGGTTAGAAGCAAGTCACTAGGTGAAGCCCACCCTCCAAGGGAAGGAATTATACAAGGGTGTGTATACTAGGATACAGTCATTGAAGGCCAGCTGTAAAAGTTCCCTACCAGAAGTGTATAAAATAATGTACTGTTTAAAGAACAGAAATGAAAAGAACACCTAATATAAAAGAATATCTAATATTACCAGCACCTCAGAAGCCCCCTTGTGGCTCTCCCCAGTTGCATTATCTTTCTTCTCTCCCTGGTGGTAACCATGATTCTAAATTTTTGTTCATTATCCTCTAGCTTTTCTTTCTAGCTTTACACTGTATGTTCCTAAAAATATATTGGTTACTTTTGAAAAAGTGAGAAACAAACACAAAACTAACTGTGCAAAAACAAAAAACTCACTGCCATCAAGTTGATTCTGACTCATATTGAGTCCCATTGAGTTTCTGAAGCTCTCAATCTTTACAGAAGCAGACTGCCTCATCTTCTCCCATGAAGCAGCTGGTGGGCTCAAAATGCCCACCTTTTGGTTAGCAGCCAAATGCCTTAACCCCTACGCCAAATTTCCACTTTGTGATGAAGTGCTCCAGGAGAAGCCAAAATGAGCAGTTTGGGTTGGAGTGTGGATTCAGTCTTCCCCAGAGTCCAGAGCTGCATCTAGGAAGTCAGTCAGCGGGGAGGCCAACAGAGCATGAAGTCCTCCCCAAGCCAAGGCTCACTCAATACCTTTATGGCTCCCAAGAAAATTAATAAAGATACATCCTATCTATAATATCCAGTCCACATTCAGATTTTCCAGTTATTCCTTAACTGTTTCTGTGTGTGTGTGTGTGTGTGTGTGTGTGTGTGTGATTTGAGTGAAAGTTTACAGAGAAAATTCACTTTCCATACAGCAGTTCACACACACTTTGTCTCATGACATTGACTACAATTGACCCCAATGCAACAGCTCCCCTTCCTCTTCCTCCCCATTGTTACCTCTTCCCTGTGTCCATCCCTCCATGCACTCTTGCCACCTGAACTATCTCCCCGTGCAAAAACAGCTCTTCTTTCTCCCATGATTGTTCTCTCCAAGACGTGTATCTACCTCAGGTGCATGTTCAGCTCATATGCCTGTCTTGTTTGGCTGGAAGCCACAGGTGTGGGTCCAATTCCAGACCTGAAGGGCAGCTAGGGACCATACTCTCAGTGGTTCCACCAGCCTCTATCAGACCGAAAAACCTGGTCCCCACCTTTTTTTTCCCCAAATGATTTTGAGTTTTCTTCCACATTGTTCTCCCTCTCTCTCCAGGATCTCCTACATAGATGCCCCTCCGAGTGGTTGACAGTGGTAGCCAGGCACCATCTAGTTCTTCTGGTCTCATAGTCGTATAGGCAGAAGATAGCACAATGTACCGGTAGCTAGGACTAATTGTTTCCATGAATCTTTGGTTTTCTTCATTCCTCTTTGCTCTGGATGAGGAGAGACCCTTTGTTGCATTTAGGTGGCTGCTTGCAAGATTTTAAGATCCCAGTTGCTAATCGCCAAAGTAGGAGGTGGAACAATGTTTTATGTAGTATGTTATGCCAATTGAGCTTGATGCCCCCTGCAACTGTGGTCCTGATCCCACAGGTTCAACTACTCAGTCCCTCTGGGTAGCTGGCTGTGACCAAGAAGTAACTACAACTTTGTCCCTTGTCAGCTCTACTATACCCCTGGGAATTCTAACAGAACATACAAATACACTTGTAGAAACATTGTCTGCCAACCCTATATATACATGGTCTTGCATACACTCTCTGCTGCATAGACATATTTAATAGTTCAGCCTGTCCACCCACCTATCCACCTCTATATCCATGTTTTCCTTCACAGACAGTGCAGTACTGTATGTGCAAAAGTATTCATCTTTGTTGTCTGCAGCTTCCATACACCTCTCTATGTCTTCCTCTTCCTCAATGTCACCATGTTGATCACTCACATTTGGTACATTGGCCTTCTCTTCACCCAAATCAATACTTATCTCTATCTATCTAACAGTGTTTCTTCCCCTCCCCTCCCATCCCTGGTAACCAACAAAGAAAATTCCTTCCATATAGAAACTGTTCCTTGACTTTTACAATAACAAACTAATGCTATATTTGTCCTTCTGTGATTGACTTATTTCACTCAGTATAATATCCTCCAAGTTCATCCACATTATGCAGTGGTTTGCAGATTCTACATTATTCTTTAGGGTTGCATAGTATTCCATT